ACTTGGACTGAGCTTTGGCTATTTTCGACTCTCGTTCTAGTCGCTCAAATTCCTCCACAATGGGAGGAATGATCGCAGGGCCCGTCCAAGGATGAGCAAAGAATTCGGATGCCGCTAGCCACATCCACGTCAACGGCTCGGCGCGTTGAACAATTAATGTCGGGTTGAACACGAGCGAAAATTCCCAAAAGCGAGGCGACTTTTCGTCCGTAGTGATAACGCGTTGGGCCGTTGCAAGATCGAACACAACCGTGGGGCACTGTGTCGCGAGACGAAGAAAGTACTCGCGAAGAGCCCAGGAACCTTCGTCGTCATCGGCATCTTCAAGATCTCCAAGGGAGAACAGATTCTGCATGCTGGACCAAAGCTGTGGCATCGAACCGCCGAGTGATGGGTCGTACGCCTTCAGGCCAGTCAGGATGAATTCAGCGATGTCGTCGTAGGTTTGGGCGTTGGAAGATGGACCCATGTTGACATCGGCCCACCAGCCAGGGCATTTGGAGATTGCCCGACCAGAGTATTCCGCCGTGCGAGAAGACCAAGTAATAAATGCCTGGTTTCCCAAAACCTCTTTCCTCCACGCCTTCTTGTAGAGCCTGTGGAACTTTGACACCTTGAGGTTCGTGTTGTAGGCAACGAGCGGCCGTCCTTGCACTGCGCCATCCTCGGCGGTTTTGGAAGGGGGGGGGGGGGTTGCTTGCGTTGACTCTTGGTATTTGTGGGATCAGGATTATCCTTGGTGAGATCAATCGACAAAGGACTGGTGTTCGATCGAGCTTCGGCCGTGAGGCCAACCTGACCTTGGGCAACTTCAGATGGGAGGAGCGAGCGACCTGTCATTGCGCCATCCTCGGTGGTTTTTTAAGGGTTTCGCTTGCTGATGCGCTTGGGAGTCGTGATGGCAGGATTGTCCTTTGTCAGAGCAATTGACGATTGAGTGGTCAAATTTGATCGTTTTTTTTCCTTGAGAACTCCCTGACCTTGGTCAGCTACAGTCATGATCGAATTTGGGTCCTTCTCCGGCGGGTTGATGATGCTATCCTTCATATTGGCTTAAATTTAGTTCCTGTTTCAACGACAACAACTGTTTTCCTGTACGTACAAAACGCGTAGGACTGGTACAGTTTTGTTTTGGAGAAGTGTGTGGAAAAATATTTTCTACCTTTTAGTTTTTCATTTTTGATTTTTGAGTTTTATCCAGACAAAGACTACATCATGCGATTCAAGCCCAGGAGTGGAGGCGGCGCCGGGTAATCTTCGATTATTCATACTAACCCCTACGATGACGGCAGGTATCTGCTTGGAATAACCACAGATCAAAGAACAGACGAATAATATTTGATTTCAAAAAATAGAGCCGCTCAGCGACCCGGATATGACTGTAGTAGAGGCATTTTTCGTCCGTTTTGGTAACGTTTTTGACGGGAGATAGTTTCAAGTTGAGCACGCATCGTATCATAGTGCGTGTCATCATTGTTTCCATCGACAACACTTCGATCACGAGCCTCCAACGAGCAACAAGAGCAATGGAGCAGGACAGCACACGACACTGAGCACAACGACGCTAAATAGCCATGATGCAAAACAGCCAGGAGCCAGAAGCATAACATCATATACATCAGGGGCATCAATGAAGAAGCAATGAGTTCCAACAAATGTGCATCGGCGCTCTCGATCTGAGTAGGTGCCAATTGATTAGAATGAAGCAAACCAACAATCCACTAGAAAGCAAAAGCGGAGTGGTATTATCTTACTACTGCACTGCTTCAACGAGATTCGGAATGTTTTGCCTTTTCGATGGTCGGTCAAAGCGTTTGCATTCAATACAGCAGCAAAGAACGTAATGTGACTGACTGGACTGCCGAGTCCCGAGCAGATATATTAGAGCGATCGAAGGCCAACGGTCGTCGCCAATCTCAAGCCCAAGATCAATCATCTATCATCTACTCACAGTTGCTTCAGACCCCCGTAAATACACCCCAATAGCAATATCAATCACCGTCTATCATGCCCAACAGTAGCTACATCGATGCACTAGTACGCTCTCTCTACGATGAGAGTCAGGAGCCCAACGTTGTCATGTTAAGTGGAAGCCAGCCCAAAATTCGAAGCCCCCATGCATTCGATTCGCAGTCAGAGCCACCACGTTTGTTCACACGATCAGCCAACACATGGGGAGGACAGTTCAACCCTGATCATTTCCAGCGCAACGCGTTCGCTATGATGTCAGCAAGCCCTGTCAATGTGGAGAATGCAGCGTTCCCCGCGATGACTGCCGCGTCGCATCACAAATATGAAAAAAACAAAAAAAGAAGCGATTGTATCAACGAGAAATCGTATTTGGTCAACGGAAGCCACGTGGACGAAACCATCGCCTACAACCAGTATACCATCGATACTGCCGTCCTAGCTCCAACCACAGAGTCTCCAGAAATCAAGCAAGTGATCCTACAACAGTCTGTGAACTCCATCAAGCAGACCAAGACAACAATGGAACACAAGGTGGATTTCTTGATGAGACGCTACACATCAGTATGCCCAGAGGTTCGCTCGCGAGTCAACGCCGCTACCAGCAAATTGTTTGACGTGACTAGTGACGTGCACGAATTCACAAGCCTGCACGTCATCGACAACTTGGGACAAGTGATCGCTACAGGACCGGGACCAGGACTTCCAGCACCATTTAGAGCCGCTGCCACATACTTCCGAATCGAGCTCCGATTGGCCCCACGGCTTTGCTCCCTACGAACTGACATTGGAATCGACCCAACAAAGTTCCCACCATCTTCCAACAGAGCTGTATACGTTCCAGTGCCAAGAGTCCAGAACCAGATGGACGTATCCATCACTCGCCAAAAGGTAATGGACCAAGCACATCACAAGGAAATCATCGCAGCAATGGCAGCACTAGGAGAAGAGTTCTCAATGAGAGCTGCGACCAGAGACGGAGGGCCCGATAACGAAGCCTACGAAAAGTGGTCCAAGCAACAGATCGCAAAGACCCAATTCCAAGCGCTCGAACAAGCACTCACAGCCACCTACGTCGGACTACAACAAGGAATGGAGACGCCAAACCAACAACTGGCAAAACTCAACATGATCTGATACGAAGGAGGCACGATGATGTACAACAGCGTGGCTACTTTATTTGGCAGAATTGCCACGATTCTAAATGGGTTCAACCACGAGAATCCCCCGCCAACCAACCTATCAGACTTGGCAGGAGTAGCGTTCCAAGCCTTCACACAAGAAATCAAGGACGTTATGGCTGAACACCTAGAGACAGGAGCAGTAGGACCACTACTTATGGACTACCCCAGCAACCTGTCTCGAATGCACCGCCTACGCGAACGAGCAGAGAAAGAAGAGAAGCGCATCAAGCAACTTGTGGGAATTGCAAACAGCGCGGGACGAGTCAGGCCAAACAGAAGCTACGTTCCAGGACTATCTGCACCACCAAGTCCAGGAGGAAGAGCTTTTGCAGGATTCCACCAACAAGATTTCCAAGGATTCCAAGACAATTGCTCCTTCCAAACTCCAACGATCGAGACCGCTGGAACCTTCCACACTGCATTGACGCCCACACCAAAGCAAAACATTCGAGTCACTGACGGACAAGGAAGACAATTGTTGGTCTCGACACCCAACAGCAAACTATACTGCCCACAAGCTGCCCTAACAATGCTAGCATGCATGAGTGCTGCCGAAGAAGCACTCAACATCGAAGAAGAAAGTGACAAAACATCCTCGATCCATTGTTGGGGATGCCAAAAGATAGGCCACTCTTTCAGAGAATGCCCCCACAAAGGAGATCCGGGAGTTATCAGCCAGTTTGAAAAAAGCCTAGAGGACAACAGACTAAAGAGAGAGCAGAGACGACACAAAAGCGAGATAACAAGTTACAAGGACAGTGGTTATATTAATCAAATAGTTTATGACACAATCCAAAAGATTGAGCATCCCGAAACGTGGGAAGATGAACGAAGAACACTGTTGATAAACTTGGCCAAAACAGTCACCGAGCACATGGGCAACAACAGCGGACAAAAGAGGAAGCAAATGAGAACGGATCCCCCACTCACTTTCATGACGGTCGGAAGCTTGGCAACAATGGAACAAGCACAAAAAATTGGACTTCTCAGTGAACAAGTCCTAGCAGTGATGCACTTCCCAATCGGCCTCAACCTCGGAGACACAGCCAACTTGAAAGGAATATACGACACAGGAGGATGCTGCAACATAGGAGAAAAAGCATACCACCTCACTATCGCAAAACAATACCCCCAATTGGTCAAACAGGTGTACAACTTTCCAAAGATTCACTACGCCCCCATCAAGATTGGAGGAATCAAAGACAGTGTCAACATCAAGACAATCATTGAATACTACATCCCTTTTGCCAACGAGGATGGAGAAAATCACACGTTGATGATTGGATTGATGGATCAACTACCCATCAACACACTCTTTGGATTACCATTCATGTTGAAGGCAAAGATGGCGCCAGACTTTCATCGAAAAACAGTAACTTCAAGCCTCTTCAACCAGGAATTTGAACTCACCATGGAGCGACCCACAATGCTTCCAGTGGAACACATCAGAAGAGATCAAGCAGAATCACCCAAAGCACTATTCAACAACAACAAGACAGAGACAGGACAGAGAGCCATCATCACCAGAAAACAACAACACAACGCGCCCAACACCATCACCAACATTCACCAAAGAACACATAACGCAGGACGAGCCCACCACAAATGACGAAAAAAAATGGAAAAAAAATGAATAAAAAAGGTAGAGACCCATCATATAAATGTAATCGTTACGTTACTACGAGAGTGTTGACTTACGAAGTAGTAGATGTTAAAGATAGTAATGTAGATCAAATTGTATTCTTAAAAAGAGTGTTGTTATCGTTGTTTCATCGACAGGCTTCCGCGAAGGCCGATCCCGTTCACTTACGGACACGAACCATTGCATGCGTGTGCAATAGCACGGTAGCCTTCATTTGGTCCCCTTGAATTGGGTTCCAACGTTGGGATCCAGTTTGATAACTTGTCTAGTACGTCCATTCCCCGAATAGTTGCCTTCTCCTTTCTAGTGTCAATTGTTTCGTGAAGGCATCAGTGAGGTTCAACATTCCTGCAATCCACGATACGTCGACGACTCCTGCAGCCACGTTCCACCTGGTGTAATGATAAGCAATCAAATTATGCTTCTTGTTCAAAGTGGATTCGACCATTGTTGAATTCGTCACCACGCTCTTGTTGTCGCAGAATACGTGCGATGGTCCTTCTTCCAAAGGTATTCCAAACATCCTCAATTTGAATCTCAAATGCCTGATGGCTTCACTGCATGACTTCAAAGCAATGAATTCGGAACCAAAAGTACTCGCTTCTACCGTATTCTGTCGCTTGCTGTGCCATAAGATAGGTGCTCGATTGAGGAAATTTATGTACCCTGTATGTGATTTCCGCGTTTTCTTATTCGCACCATGTGAAGCATCTACCCATGCAGTACTTCCTACACTTCGTCCCCTTGGTTTGGGTGTGTTGCGTGGCATCTCTTCCGTCGCATCTTGGTAGTATGCCTCAAAATCCTCCCTGGAGGATCTCAACTTGGAATAGTCTACGTTTGGCGTCCTCCAATCATAGTAAAGGGTCAATTTTGGGAAGGTATCCAAGAAAGCAAATATCCTCAATGCTTGTTCCATGTGTCCTTCCCTTGGAGCTGCTTGATACTGGCTCAGGAGTGATACTTCCAGTAAGATATCGACTCGTCCAATCTCTGTCGCCCATTGTAATATCCCAATCAACTCTTGGAAGTAGGTATGGTCTTCTCGTCCTAATTTGCTTGATCCATCCATCTCCGGTTTATAGGCACTAGTCATCGGCGTTGGTGCATTCTTGGGCATTTTCCATTTTGGGCTGTCCTTTAATGTTTCCTTGACGTTTTTGACTGCTGCCACGACGTAGTCATAACTTGACACCATCCACATATTGTGTCCATCCAAAGTCTTCTTTCGTAACCTAGCTCCCAGGTAGCTTTCTGGAGGTTCAATCTTCCCTTTCTTGAACTTGAACACCCTTCCAATTCCTTCCATCACTTCTTTGGCTTTCATCGACATACATAGGATGTCGTTGACGTAGCAAAGGATGTATTTGTAGTATTCCTCGCCGTCAGGTTTCACTGCCGCTTGCATCCAAACGTCTGGGTCGGCAGTTGACGAGCTGAAGCCCAAATCCTTCAAAGTCTCCGCCAGGTGTGATCTGAATGCTGCGGATGAACTTTTTAAGCCATATAATGCTCTTCTTACAATAAATACTTTGCCTTCTTCTTCACCAAACTCGGGTCCTGCTACCAGGTAGCACTTCTCGATCGCTGGTGCAGTGAGGAATGCGTTTTGAATATCCGCGCATTGCAAGTCTAATCCGTTTAGCGCTGCTATCATTAGTAGTATCCGAACTGAATCACGGGACACTACCGTACTGTAGGTCAATGCTGCGGGTGCTTCAGTCTTGTGTCCATCAGCGCAGTACCTCGCTTTCCTTTTGAAGTTTTCCCCTAGTTTCACGTCAAATACTAGGTGTCCCGTGATCTTTTTGTATCCCATCAGTTTCTCTACGTCTCCATCGAATTCTTCAAAAGCGACTCGATTGTTTTTCATCTCCATTTGAATTCTTCGTCTTCCAATCCGAGGTCAAACATCAATTGTGGCGGTATCTCATCTTTCCCCCAACTGATGTCTCCTGTCCTTGCATCAAGGATCTTGGATACATCAGTTGTCCATTGCGCTATTTGTTCTTTGACCACGTCGGTCTGTTTCTCTGTTTCTGTGATGTTCTGGACAGTGTCAGTCGAGATTGGGCGGCCACTCTTCGGTAATTTCCAATACGTCATCATTGGACCCGTCCTGTGTGACACTCCCAACCATCGTCCTATTTCGTTTGTCCCCAGGGCGCCGTCTGTGCGGTAGTATACCCATCCATAGATCGTAAAGTCCATGTATTCTGTAATGTCCGGCGTGATGCCAGTGATCACTTCAAGCGGTACTTGTCCGTCAGAATATCTTGAGTAGTTGGCGGTGATGTTCATGGTATCAACCACATAATCGAGCACAAAGTCCCATAGCCGTTCTGGTATCCCATGCTTGACTATCAATCTGTAGAATCGTCGTTTGAGATGCCTCTCATGGTTCAAACTTGTTGTTGACTTGTCGCCTCACAGTACCTGACCTTTACAGCAGAATCTTCCACCGGCAATCGTATGCGCTAGATAGCATTTAAGCGGTTAATGTTTCAGTTATTATTAAGTTCCAAGGATCAATTGTTCGATCCAAGCAAGCAGCTGACTGCACTGCTGAACAAGTTGGCAATTAAGAATCGCAACTAGGAACTAGGCGTGTACATCACTAGATTGGCATGACCAATGATGAAGATGAACTCAGGAAGAAGGAAGACTAAAAGGCAAAGGAGGAATTGAAGCATGGCCCATCATGGTGCCAGCCAATATGACCTGTTGTTGATACAATAGATGAAGGATCTCACAATGGATGGCAATGAAGATATTCATGCATCCAGAGCTCAACAAGAAGAATGAAATTGAATGAAGGCAGCCAAAGCTGTTGTGCGAATGCTAATCATACTACTCTCTTGACCTACTTAGATCTTGCAAGCCAAAAGCAGGTTCAAGTACAATATAAAACATACATGGTGACTTTGGTTTCAACTTGGTAATGACATGTGCTGACCAGGATACTTTTGATCCCGGATCAAAGTCTCTTAGTGAAAACACACTGAGTGGTACCATGCAGCTGCTGCAAGAAGAGCTTCAAGTGAGAGACCTGTACCTTGCACGGTATCATATGACACATCTGTTGTGCAGGAGTGTTTAGAAGGACAGATAAGGGCAATGTCTTCCACTACAAAACTTTGTTTCGAGGAAGAATAGCAAGAGACTGTATTGACATTACCCGCAATGGATGTATGTGCGATCCCTGGCTGGTCAAGGTTAACATACCAAAAAGTTTGATGGTCCGGATATGGATATAGAAATAAAAACCAAAGGTTCGATGGTCCGGATTTGGATATTGAAATGGAATCACAACATGTGTTGTGTCGCTAAGCATAAAGCGACTGGTCCAAACTACTACACTTTAATAGTAGAACTCTTTGTAAATTTCAGGTTTGCAGACTGTGATGAACAAATCACCCATCAAGGAGCAAACTAACCTTACTCAAGATGCAAGATGCCACAACATGTGTTGTGCTGCTAAGCATGAAGCGACTGGTCCAAACTACACTAGTAGAACTCTTTGTATGTTGGGAATTCACGTGCGCGTGTAAGAACTAATGAAGTACTTTTGGGACTAACAAAGTACTTGTTGAAAATCCAGGTTTATATGGATTGAAAGTGGTCTTCAGGCGTGACAATTAGATAGGATATACCGGTAGCTGGGTGAGAACCAGCTTGTCACATTTTTGAGGACCAGACTGGCTGTTTTAGCCAACATGGTGTGATATACTGAGTTGCAGACAGACAGAATGTCCGATCGAATGAATCACATGCGCGATCCATCGCTCGAATGAAGGAGTGTGTTGGGAATTCACGTGCGCGTGTAAGAACTAATGAAGTACTGTGGGGACTAACAAAGTACTTGTGGAAAATCCAGATTAAAAGTGGTCTTCAGGCGTGACAAATAATAGGATATACCGGTAGCTGGGTCAGAACCAGCTTGTCACATTTTTGAGGACCAGACTGGCTGTTTTAGCCAACATTGTAATTGCAGGTTTGCAGATGGTGATGAACGAATCACCATCAAGGGGCAAACTAACATTGCTCAAGATGCTGCAAGAGACGGTAACTAAATTGCTGGAGATTGCATAAGCTGTGCAAAAGGAGAACTCTTAAAAAAAAGAATTCTTGGCCATCAGTTGTTGATATCAAGATCACAACTGAAACCATCTTTGGTACCGGCCTTCCCAAAGACACAGGAAACGAAAGTTGTTCCATGACACTGCAATGGACAATTGGACTGAAAATAACAACAATAGAGAACAATGCATCACAAGTTGTGAGTTGATGGGATGGACTGGCATTGTGTTTGCTTTGCAAAACGCAGTACTGCTGATGAGCAGTGCTTCATGCTTTGAGCTTTGAGCTTGCCTTTTGTTCATCACTGTAGCAGGCGTAGTACTTGTACCAGTATCTTACAATTTTAGTATCTGCATAGCTATGTCCAGGCAATTTTCTTCTACTCTAGTGGGGCTACCAGTAGGTCGAGGGTGCTGAATTATGCCCCTGATATTAAAAGCATCAATGAATTAGTCTCTGCCCCCACTTGTTTTCCCCACACTCTACTCTATTTCGGATCTATCTTAGACCTTTCTGCTTTTTGCAATACTCGTAATGACCTTCCACGTCCAGTTTTTCAATTCTCATTCATTGTGGGAGGAACAATCATGATGAAGGTGCGGAGATCGGTTCTTGCCGTACGTAGCCTTTCCACAAAACGGCTAGAGAGGTCGACGAAAGGTGACGCTGCATACGAAAGCTACTTGCAGTCTGCAACAGTACGACATCGACGAAACAGAGCGCGGAGTAAGTCTTTCTGCGGATTGATTGCTTCCAGGCATTTATATATCTTGCGCCCATCTGATACCTTCTCTTGGATTAAGCGAAAGAAAAGAAATTGCCTGAAAATAAGACTGAGCCAAAAAGGTTGAGTGGGAGACGAGAGAGAGCCGCGAAAAGCGTCGTAAGTATATCATTCATTGACGAGATTCTTTGAGACCGAAGCTTACAACTTTGAAATACAGATTCCAACTCGGACGGCAGGCACACAAACTCATCGAACTAAAAGAATTGGTGCTAGTGGAGATCTTGCCAAATCAGCAAGAAACGTCCCCGAATCTTCTGTAGCCAAAAGATTAGGGATGACCTCTCAACCGCTTGCGGAAACTTCAACGCAAGTTGCTTCAAGCAAAAGCGCACCAATCATAGAATCTGCTGATGCACATAGAAATCGTTCATCTTCAAAAATTCCGCTGTTGGTGTTGTTTGGATTGACGTCAGGAAGTATTGTATGGACGTTGGGGCAATCTCATGAGATTCTAGAAAAAAATCCACTATTCCAGAAATATATCGATGAGGCGAGACAGCTTCTGCTGCCGCGAGGAGATGTGAAGAGCAAAGAAATGAAACAAGATCATACCAGTGAGAAGTCGAAGAAAGGTTGGCTCGCGTCTCTTTGGTGACGATCTTAAAGAGCTGTGTAGATTGCAGCAATATGTGAAAGTATTGTAGCAATTATACTATGACGCAGTTTCTAACATCCCATATCTTCACATATATGCTTCATTCTATTCCGAGAACGAGAGCAAGAGCTAGAAGATACTTTGTATTGCATCCCTGTGGTGGAGATCCTTAAATCTGTTGTACATTACATTGCAGCAATAGGCATACTAGTGCTTTCACTTTTTCTAGAACAGACTTCTTTAGCCTCAAAAGTTTCAATCTTCACATCTTTCATCAATGCCATCATTGGCATTTCCAATGTGGAATGCTCTCTAATCAAATATGAAGAATCATCATCAGATGTGAGATTAGATGAGCCCTCTCATTCTTATGACTCTTCCCCTGACCTCATCACTCACTCCGAATTGTGAAAGATACAGTATGATTTTGATTTGAGATCTGAACTCTACCCAGCTGCCCCGGATTCAGACCATGATGCTACACTTTCAGATGGAGCCCCTTCCAGAAACCCTCGAGGACCACAACCCGACACCGAGCCAGAAGATACGGGACCTGGGGACCAAGCTGAGTTGACCGATTATGAAGAGGAAAGAGAGGTCCCACTCAGCGCTTGGGTCCATCTCATGACAAATCACTGTCGAGTGAAATGTGTCGGACCCACGACAAACAGCAAGCAAGACAATATCATATGTGGCAAGCTAAAGAGCAAGTGCCAACTCCGCCTCCACAAAGAACTTTGAAGCAGTGGCGAACGGGCAGCCCCACGTTGGTATGAAGGAGTCCCATCTACCAAGGACATTGACAAGGAAACTGGGGAATTTATTATTCACGGTCAACAATATGGTCAGTGTCAGACCGAGAAGGAAATGGATGAGCATCTCAACCGAGTCTCCACTGAGGTTCTCTCCATCTCAGACGAAGAGGAAGAGCATGATGACACCGATGTCAATACTAGCAAAGTGGATTCTGAGGGACAATTCTTGGATGGCTCAGACGACGACCACCAAGACGACCTTGACCGAATCAATGAACTGATCGCTGAGATCGAAGAGGCAAAGTTGAAGAAGCTGAAAGCGGAGAAGGC